AAGAATGGGAAGTGCTCTTTATCAAGAAACCATATCTCTAGTCCCAAATGGTTTTTATTTTGTTTTGTTTGGAATACTATCAGTAATACAGCAGATTTTCTGGAGCCTTACTTCTGGGTCTCACTTTCCCCTTCGTCTTGCAGAGGACAAAGTGGTCTTAGTTCTAGTCTCCTTGGAATGCCACTGCCTCCTGCTAGCTCTCTCCCGAGATTCTTTTTTTTTTTTTTAAGTTTTATTTATTTATTATGTATACAGTGTTCTGTCTGCATGTATGACTGCAGGCCAGAAGAGGGCACCAGATCTCATTACAGATGGTTGTGAGCCACCATGTGGTTGCTGGGAATTGAACTCAGGACCTTTGGAAGAGCAAGCAGTGCTCTTAACCTCTGAGCCATCTCTCCAGCCCCGAGATTCTTTTTTAAATCTTTATTTATGTATGCTTGGATGCCTGAAGAGGGCACCAGATCTCGTTATAAATGGTTGTGAGATCTATAGATGCTGGGAATTGAACTCAGAACCTCTAGAAGGAGCAGCCAGTGCTCTTAACCTCTGAGCCATCTCTCCAGCCCCATCACTGCGATTCTTTTGGCTCAGGCCAGCACCCAGTCTCTAGCAGGGAGTTAGTGAGAGGAAGCCTGGAGTAGAGAAATGGCTACTCCCTGGGCGGTCAGGTGTCTTCCAACCTAGCATAGCTGGGCTGTGCTCATTGAGCTACCCTTTGAATGAAAATATTTCTAGATTTCAAGAAAAGAGCAGGCATGGCAAGGGATGGAAGTTGGGGAAAGTTGGAAGAGTTTTATTCTCAAAACCTTTCTTCTTTTCTCCCTTTGATTCTGCTGTGTAGGACTGTCAAAGAACTCTTTGTCTTATTTCTTCTTGGATTTGGTGATTTTTTTGAATGACAGTCAAGAATGCACTTTGCTCTTTTTGAGCTACTTATAATGGATTTTCTCCTGCGCATAGTCCTAATGTCTTAAAACTGGTTAATTTTGGGCTGCAAAATACTTGGGTTACTAATGCCACAGACAGGCAGGCACACGACAGGGTGGTGGAGTCTCTGAGGAGGGTCCAGGCCCATGTGGTAGAATGGACGGAGGTCCCTTTTTCTAGGCTTAGGGGGAGGAGGAGGTTCTGTGCTGCACAGTGTATGAATCGTTCATCTTCTGTATCTACAGCAGGGCTGTCTCTGAATGAGCTGTGAGGATGCGGGAGAGAATCTAGAAAAATCAAGTCATGCTAGTTCTGGTGGTTACAGGAATTGTCAAATTCAGCCCCAGATGGGGGAGCGTTATAAAGCACAGCCCTGGCTGACAATGCCCTTGCTTGTGGTAAGTGGGAAGATCTTGGTAGTAGCTTTTGGTGCTTTCTGTTCGTATCAACCAGTGCTTCATGATATCTTCTATACAACAGGCCACGAGGAGCTGCTGAGTGACTTGACATGTGATACATAACACAGAGTACTCCTGTGAAGCAAGTGTTCTTCAAAGAACTTGAAGGAGTCTTCTTTGGCTTTAACCAGAAGTATTTTAGAACTAGGCATGTAGCGTGGTGATAGAAAGGGTTTGCCTGGCGTACGCAGGGCCCTGGGTCCCATCTCTAGCACCACGCAAATCAAACTGAAGCGTTTTAAACAGATTGCTGTGCCCACAGAAGGCCTGTTCTGTGTCAGCGTTCTCTGGGGACCCATTAAGATCAGACAGTGAACAAGTCTCTGCGGCAAACCGTTTCCATCTCGGTTTCAAATGCCTGCTGCTCAGATAAGCTCCGAGGTGGCTGCGGAGCTTCGCTGACTGTCTTAGTTGTCTGTCCACCTTGAGCTTTGCCCTCTCCCCCACTGGTTTTTATTACAAAGCAGGAAACTTGGGCCCAGAGAGTTTAAGGCACATCCAGGGCAAATGGCTAGTAAATTGTTCCACCAAGATCAGATTTGTTCTCTTAGCCACTACGCTAGTGCCTTCTCTAAATGCAGTATTGAGTCCCACGGATCTCTTGACTCTCCCCCCTCCCTCGCATGCACATGTGTGTGTGTTGTGTGCTTGTGTAGGAACATGTGTTTTTGCACGTGTGTGGGTGTGCATGCACATATACACATAGGTATGTGCAGACCTTTCCATCAGGGATCATCTTCCATCAGTCTCCATCTCTTCTCTTTGTCCTTCACTGAGGCATGGTCTCTCCGTCAAATCCAGAGCTTGCTGTCCAGCGGGCTCTGTGATGGGTCCCTGGTCAGCACCTCTGAGACTGCCCTTGTGGAAAGACCACCACGCCCACCCATTGTCATTCATGAGGGTTCCTGGGGTTCTGAACTCTGATCTCCACACTTCTGTGCTGAGCACTTGGCCCCGCTGAGCCCTCTCCCCAGCCCTGTCTCACAGATCTTAACACATCTCAGGCCCCTGTGTAGACTTGCTTGACTACCTGGCTTTGGTGGCCTGTGGGCTTTTCTGAACTGTGTGTTGGAGGCGTAGATATTTAGTTTACGTGTCGTGACAGCTCATCTCTGAAACAACATAGGACTCTAGTCTTTTGTCTGTCCTCTTCAGGCATTTTCCAGGGATAGAGGGAACAGCTAGCAGATACAGGGGGGTAATTAGGAATGTGATTTAAAGGCATCTATGCAGCTACCAGGAATTACGGCTTTCTAACCAGGTTCATAAATGCGATCGTATAGGAATGCTTATATGATGTGTAACTTATAAACCTTTAAAAATAAAGCAAGGAAAAGCATACATTTGTTTTCCAGATGTAAAGTGAACATAACGGGCACTGTGTTTTATAATCTCAGTGGGGGGAAAAAGGTCTTTTAATGTGTAAATACAATCTAATAAAGATAAAGCCGTGCAGTGGCTAAGCATATTATGATAGAGAATGTTTTAGCACGAGTCCAGCTCACCTGGATGCTTACGGCTCCTTTGTTCCTAGTCTCATGTATCCTTCTCTTCACAAATTTCATTGTTAATTAGAAATTATGTGAGGCTGGAGAGGTGACTCAGCAGTTACGAGTAGTTGTGGCTCTTGCAGAGGACTTGAGTTTGGTTCCCAGTACCTACATGATGGTTTACAACTATTCTCCACTCCAGTTCAGGGGATTTGATGCCCCCTTCTGACCTCAGTAGGTACCAGGCACACACATGTTGGTACATATATATACATACATACATGCAGGTAAAGCACTCAAGCACATAAGAAGTAAATAAGTCTAAAAAAATTTTTTTAAAGATTTACCTATTTCATAAAATCACTCTTTGCCTGTGGGATGCTAGGTTGGAGCTGGCCAGTTAACTTTAGCTGGAGATCACAGACATTAGATGAATTATAAGTGATTAATCTTTACTTATAGGGCCACAGGACTTGGTTTATTCCCTTACCAATGAACTGCTATTATATTTCTTCATCTTAAGGAAAATTTATTATTTGCCTTATCTCTCTTAAGGGGAATATTACTTTCCTTAAATTTGTTTATAAATTATGAACAGCAATGTTTTTGTCTTGTGTGTAAATAGATTTTATTTTTTAACAAAAGTATCAGTGGAATGCTTTTGTCTTATTTTTATAATTTATATATTAATTTTTCTGTGTGTGTGTGTATGTGTGTGTGTGCGCATGCGCGCACAGGACCCACTAGAAGAGGGTGTTTGATCCCCCTGAAGCTAGAGATATAGGTGGTTGTAGCTGCCCCATGTAGGTGCTAGGAACCTAACTCTGATCTTCTGCAAGAACAGCAAGCATTCCTAACTGCTGAGACCCTACTTTGGTCTCTTGTTGTTGTTGATGTATCAAGCCAAATTTGGTGGTTTGAAAGAAAATGGGAGTGACACTAATGGGAGGTGTAGCCTTGTTGGAGTAGGTGTGGCCTTGTTGGAGGAAGTGTGTCACCGTGGAGGTGGGCTTTGAGGTCTCATTATGCACAAGATACCACCCCATGTTTCAGACTACTTCCTGTTGCCTGTGAGTCGAGATGTATGAGCTCTCAGCTCCTTCTCTAGCATCATGTTGCCTGCATGCTGCCTTGCTTCCCGCCATGACGATAATGAACTAAACCTCTGAACTGTAGTAAGCCAGCCACCGCAATTAAATGTTTTCTTTTATAAGAGTTGCTGTGGTCATGGTTTCTCTTCTCATCAATAGAAACCTTAAAACAACAAATACCTTAGAGTTTTATAATCTCAGGTTTTGCTCTCATGTTTAAAAAGACCTTTTTTTTAAATCCAAATATTATACAGTATTCAGACACATACTCCTCTAGTAATCATTTGATTCTATTTTTAGTTCGTGTTTTTATAAGTTGAAGACATTTAGAATCCCCGTCCCCAAATAATAAACCCACATAATTTATTAACTCGTTTTTCGTTCCTACCTAGACTTGGTGGCATGTACCTGTTTTATATGAACACTGCACACTCTAACCTTGCCCTGTTTTTTCACTGTGGCTAAGCTGTTTTGATAAATCTGTAATTGATGGTGTTTTTCTGCCTCTTGGTGGGTTTCCACTGAGTAAGGGGTCAGATGGTGAGCTCTTGGGGCCTCAGAATGGTCATGACAAAAAGATGAAGCAAGAAGGAACTGCCTGATAATTGAGTCCCAGGAACTAAGTAGCACAGCTGTGAACAAGACCAGAACGATTCTGTATGCTAATGGGGAAGAGGGCACAAAGCCTGAAATTGGTTTAGACATGATGCAGGAAGAAGGACACATATATTTGGTTTTTTGTTTAAATTCAAATCCATTAAAACCTTCCTAACACAGAGAAGGGGGGAAAGTGTTCTGCCTCTTGGCCGATGGTAATGTAATTTTGGTCTTTACGTAAGTGTTCTGGGACCTCAATTCCCTGTCGGCACAGCAAATTCCCAGCACATGTGGCGTGATGGAGACTCGTTGCTTCCGGTGTTGTTTCCTTTCATTCTTAGCATGGGGGAAAATGACCAAACGTATAGACTTCTTACTCGCAACCTGGTGTTTATATCGGTACTTGCATCTAATGGCTTTTCCTATTGTTCTAGGTATTGCTGCTAGAAGCTTCTCGCACTCCTCAGGATCTTTTCAGTAAGACTGACACTGCACAAGCTGAGAATTTAGGTAAGTCTTTAAAAACTGAATGAAAGAAAGAATGCATAGAGGAAAACATTCTCATTAACCGAGTCCCGGGGATGGGACGTGTGCTGATGTTCTCCAGAGCATTTCAGTTCTGTCTCCAGCACCTCACTGTGGTCCTCACCAAGGTCTGTGTGCTGCAGCCGATGTGCAGAATACCTGGTCCTCGTGCCTGCTTTCTGTTTGACTTCCTCCCCTAAAAGTTAGGTATGAGAAAAGGGATGTGGAGCTGGGGCATTTCCCTTACTAGGTCTCCGTGAATTTGTATTCATCCCCATGGCTTGCTTAGTACACATTTTGAGAGAGCAAAGATTGGAAGCTCTGGGTAAAGAACTGAACTAGAAACTCCATCGTCTTTGAAATGGAAGTGAGTGGTTCCTGGGGACTTGAGGGTTGTAAATGATGACTGTAGAATGGGGGAAGTAAACATGAATTACAGGTAATGGGTTTTTCTTTGGTCCTGCATGGGGCAGATCTCAAGTGGTATGAATGGAAACTCTGGACTGAGATGTAGGGACACACCTGCAGATTCTGAGTTTGCTGAGGTTTAGTCCGACAAGGTGAATCTAGTCAGACAGCCCTTAAGTAGTGTCATGGGCCACCTACCTGTTTAATCTAGCTGGTTGAAGACTTTGGGCCAGGTCATTTATCTCTGAAAGTCTCTGTCTTCATCTGTGAAGTTTATAGGATTGCCTAGGATAATTGTTTATGTGCTTTAAGATTTTAGGGGATAGCAAAACCATGTTAGGACTAATTTACTGTATCTTTTCAGTGAATATGAACAAAGTTGATGATTGTTGAAGCTCATTGGATATGTGAGAATCCAATGTATATTTATATGTAGTTCTACTTTGTGTCTGGAATTTTTCGTGATAAAAGATTTTCACAGATAATACTAATATCATCTTTCACAGATAATGCTAATATCATCTTACAAAAGAATGAGTATTTTGATACTAAAAGAGTAGGGGCAAGGTGTGGTGGTGCACACCTTTGATCACAGCACTTGAGGCAAGCAGATCTCTGTGAGTTCAAGGCCAGCCTGGTCTACATAGAGAGTTGCAGGCCAGCCAGGGCTGTGTAATGAAGCCCTGCCTGTCTTTAGATGATACGTATTTAGCTTTATAAAAATGGCTGTCTTTTTCACAATCCTTCCCCCTTTCTCTCCAAACCAGCGATCAGTGGAAGACTCAGCAGCATGGTACTAAGGGCTGACATTGGTGGATCTTAGAGTATATGACCCTAGAACTGTGTCCTTTCTCCCAAACAAGAAACAAGGTGGAACCTATGTTGACATTGTTTACATTCAGAAAATACCCTTTCAACAAGCATGGGTGAACTAAGAGACATTAGATGTCAAGCTGAAGTGAAGGGACTGTTCTGTTGGGAGCTCACTTTCATAAACATGGAATTATCTGTGGGCTGCACTGTGGTCAGTGCAGATTGAAAGGGTGACAGTGATCCTACTAGTCTGATGAAAGGTCACAGCAGCTCCCTCCCTAGTGTGGAGGGGCAGCTCTAGCCAGCTGTTGGAATACATATGACTGTCTATTTCAGAAGTGTGTGTGTGTGTGTGTGTGTGTGTGTGTGTGTGTGTGTGTGTGTGTGTGTGTGTGTGTGTGTATGGGGGGCGGGGGTTGTCACCTTGTCTTCAGGGAGGTGAGCCTGACACCTGACCGCTAGGAAACCCAGTGACCCCAAGTATGAAGAACTCAAGGCTGGGTGTAGATCAAGGGCACAGTCAAGAGTTATGAACTCTCAGCAATGTGGTCTGAGCTCCTCAGGACAGAGAGGAGCTTGCTGAGACATTGGATGTGTAAGAAGTATACTTGGTGGCACCCTGTGCTGTGGGCTGTAGAGAACACATACTATGTTTCTGTCGACTTCTCCTTGGGCTGTGGGTTGTTGTTGTTGCTACTGCTGCTGGGGTGGTGGTGGTGGTGGTGGTGGTGGTGGTGGTGGTGGTGGTGGTGGTGGGATTACTACTAGACAAGGAAGTCCCCTGAGGGACAGGCAGATGCTCCCTGCTCTGGGAGGTTAACACCATTCCCTTACTTCTGAGAGTACTGGAGATGCTGGGTTGTCTGTGTGGTTTAGGGCATGGTGGCTCAGTCCTTCCTTCTTCCTCCTCCTGCGAGTTCTGGCTTATGTTTCCTCTACCAATACAATTTTCAGAGAAACCCAGAATGAATTTGACAGTCTTACCTGGCTGTTTTCTGCCCTGTCACCCCAACTCTTGGCTTACTGCCTGCTTGTTATGCTTCAATGCTCGGGCTCTACTCCAAGAATGTTTACTTACTGCCCTTTTTGGGGGTGAAAAGGGTTATATCCAACAATAGTGGGAGCACTTGCCTTAAATGTGTAGGACTGTGAGAGATTACTAAACTTTTGACATATCTGAAAGTGTATATGCTGGGTGGGGCTTTTATTTTGACATGAACCAGGGAAAGGAAAATTGTTTTAAGGGATCTCTGGACTCCAGATTGGAATAAAATTTGATGTGAACAACAAAACCAATCAATCATGCTCAGGAGCTTTTCAGAAGAGCAGGGCATTCTGGGTGAGCGCTTGTAGGGATGAGTAGTTAAGAACTGGAGACAATCACACCACAGAAATCAGTGTGGTGTTTCAAAAGGTCCTATGTAAGCATGCAAGTGTATGTGCATGTATGTGAGGAGAGAGATGCTGATGGATGGGGTGGGGAATGATAAATGACTAGTTTAGTTTTCTATTTAATGACTCATGATGTATTCTGGATTGGAGTGTCAATGCAATCTGTTGCTATCTCTGTTCACTATAAACTTAGAAGAAAAATGCTTTTAAGAGCTATCTTAAATTCAAAAGAAACAAAAAAACATTGTTTTGGCCTGTCTGGGAAGTTTTTAGTTCCCATCTCTGTTTAGTGGAGGATATTCAATCTGTAAAATTCAAAGTAGAACCAATGTAGATACTTGGTGTTCTATACCCATCACTTAAAGGCTATGACGTCAGCAACCACACGCTGTTCCCATGCTTCCTTTTCTTCATGAAAGATGAAATCAATTGTGCACTTTCACCTTCCCAGCATGCTCCATATGTTGAGTTCTTTGGATTAGTTTTCCTGGAGACTTTGGCCACCATTCCATTGCTTGCCCATCTACCACAGGCCACCCGCCTGAGTGACTGAGGATCCTCACTAGACCAGGGTTTCTGCCCCCATGCTGGGACCCTTGCCCTGCTGCTGTTATTGCCTAGTCCATGCTTTCAAACAAAAGGACCACAGCTTTCATTTTGATTGACGTCCCACTGAGATGGCTCAATGGGAAAAAGGCTCTTGCCATCAAGACTGATGATCAAAATTCAATCCCCAGGACCCACATGGGTCCTGTTGTCCTCTGACCTCAACCCACACTATGGTGTGTGTGTATCCTTACAAGTACACAGACACATACACACACAATCTAAATTAATCAATATGAGATAAAGAAAGATTAATCCACACTATAACAGGATGTTCCATTTTCTTGAACCTGTGGCTATTTATGTCTGCCCATGTTTTTCTTTTGAAGTTAAAACAATCCTAAGGAAGAACTCAAAATTTGAACATTTTCTAACAATTGGTTGGATTTTATGGAATCAGTGACTTTTTTCAGTGAGTGATTTTGCCTGCATTTGCATATTTCCCTTTGGAACATGAACCTTGAAAAGAGAATTCAGTCTTCAGGGCTGGAGACGATGGCTCATGAGGACCTGAGTTTGGATCCAAACACCCACATGAAAATCCAGGTGCATGTGTAATCCCAACACTAGGGAGGCAGAGACAGATGGATCCTGGAGTTCAGTGGCCTGCAGCCTTCACATTCATGTGCAAACACAGAAGAAACATGCTCATACATACATGCACAAATGCAAGAGATCAATCACTCTTCTCTTTAACTATAAAATTTAGAAAATTCGCGTTGATCATGAGAATTAGCTTTCCAAATCTATAAAAATAACTAGTGTATTCACAGAACTGAAAAGTGACTTAATGCAATTAAAATAAACACACTTTACAGTCACCTCTAACGGCATCAGTATCTGAATACAGTGACAAAAGCTGAGAGAAATTCCATTGCTGTGCTGTAAACAGTGCTCCCATAGGGGCCTTAACAGCAGTTAAGTCCCGTTGTTACATACAAATGGCTTAAAAAACAGGTTGAAACATTGGGCTGGAGACGTAGCTCAGCTGTTCAGAGCACTTGCTGCTTCTACAGAGGACCCAACTTCAGTTCCTAGTACCCATGTCAGGTAGCTTACAACTGCCTGTCACTCTTGCTTCAGGAGAACTGGCACTCTTTTCTGACCTCTGAGTGCGTGCACACACACACATTAATTAAAAATTCCATCAAAAGACCTCATATAGCCAAAGCAATCTTGAGCTAAAAGAGTAAACTTAAAGGCACCCCACTTCCTGACTTACCTACGAACCTATATTGAACAAAGACTATGGTAATGACTTAATAGCAGCTAGAACAGTGAACAGAAGAGAAAGCCCAGAAATCTGTGCATTTGTGGTTAACTGATTTTGACAGTTGTGTCAAGAACACATAGTAGGGAAGGGGAAGTCCTTCCAATAGTTGATTTTGTTTTTTAAATTTTATAATTAGCCTGCATGCATGTCTGTGTGACGGTGTCAGATCCTCTGGAACAGGAGTTTACAGACAGTTGTGAGTTGCCATGTGGGTGCTGGGAATTGAACCCGGATCCTCTGGAAGAGCAGCCTGTGCTCTTAACCGCTGAACCATCTCTCCAGCCCCTAATAGTTGATTTTTTAAAACATAACTTTATTTTATGTGCACTGTCATGTGGTCATCGGATTCCCTGGAACTGGAGTTACCGACAGTTGTGAGCTGCCACGTGGGTGCTGGGAATTGAACCCAGGTCCTCTGGCAGAGCAGCCAGTGCTCTTAACCGCTGAGCCATCTCTCCAACCCTTCTAATAATTGATCTTAGGACAAGTGGAT